GTGAGAACGGGGAGCAGCGGCTGCTGGAGCAGGTGCAGGTGGAGGAGGAGCGGGCGCAGCAGAGCATCCTGAGCCAGCGGGCGCACTGGTCCGAGGCGCTGCAGAAACTGGCTGCCCTCCGTGCCTACCTGGTGGACGTGATCACCCAGCTGGATGACCAGGGCCTGGTGGTGAGTCCTGCTCCTTGTGCCAAGGGAGGGGTCAGCCAACCCAGGAGCGACCAGGACTTTTTATCATGGGTATTAAATATGCCCTTCAGCCACTTGCTGCACTGGCAGCAAGGAGGCAGAGTTGGACAGGTCCTGTGTTTGCAGGTCTAGCTCAGGGAAGCTCCTTCACCTGGTCCTGACAGGCCCTTGTAGTACTTAAGTGGTTCCTAGAGCATCTGCTCTGCCCTGTGCTGCTCTGGTGTGCAGTGAGGTTCAGACCTGCCCCCTCAGGTCTCTGAGCTCTTGGCTTGAAGCTGCCAGCTCAGGACAGCTGTGGTGAGAGCTGCTCTAACAGCAGTTAGCTTGGGCCACTGGTTTTCTCATGTTCTGTCTAGTTTCAAACACAATGTCACCCCTGAGAGCACCTGTAGCTCTGCCTGGCACATGCTGTTGGGGATATTCACCAAGCAGCCCAGGCTGCCTTTGCTCAGTTCCTTTGCTGGCCATCTCATGGCCTCAGTTTACCCTCTTGCAGAGGGGAGCAGGAGCCCTGCACCCCTTGGCCTCTGCTCACCACACCTGGTGTGGTGAAGCAGGGACAGCAGCTCTGCTTGGGAAACAGAACCAGCCCCACAGCCAGCAGGTCGATGGCTGTTCCTCTGGTGGGATCAGCAGCTCTTGTCCTGCCCCAGAACCTCAGCAGGCTGGGCTGGGGCTTCACTGCAGAGGGCAGGGGCTGGGAAGGGAGATCCAGCCGGGAGATCTGCCCAGGGCAGAGAACAGTGAGACCCTCAGTTTATCCTTTTGCCACGTAGTGCAGGGAAAATAGGGATAGTGTGTTCTCCACCTTGGATCACTGGTGTTGGGATTTGTGGCTGTCAGGTACGTGTTTCACAGGAAAGGGAGGGGCACACAGAGCACCCTGCAGCTCCTACGTGAGCAGGGGTCAAGTCTTTTCCTACCACTTTGCTAATCGGGCTGTGCCTTGAGAATGGACCATTCCCAGCAGGTGCAGAAACAAGTGTGACTGATCCCACGGTTACCTGACTCTTGGCTTAGGTCCTGTGCAGCACCAGCCCTTACTGAAAGCTTTGGGGGTTGGTTGCTGCAGGCAGAGGATGTTCTTGCAGCCTGTCCCAGCAGCGTGGGGAGACCTCGTGGCTGGGGTCTCTGGGCAAGGCAGGGTGCAGTGGTGGGACCTTCCAGATGCAGACAGGCTGGTGTCTACCAGAGGGTACAGAGTATGAGTTGGTTCTTTGTGGGTCCAAGACTTTCCAGGTGTCTCAGCTCTCCCATGTGTTTCCCTTGTGCCAGGCCACACTGGGGGTCTCTGCCCTCACACACAGCAGAAGGTGGCAGCTCTGTCCAGGTGCTCCTGTGCCCTTCTGGAGCTATTTGTCACCCAGCCACCTCGTCCCACTGGGGCAGCAGACACTACCCCTAGGTAGATGTAGAAGATGTGTCACCCACAGCCATTCCCACTCATTTTCTGAGGCAGGGAGTGGGAGGTGCTGGAGCTGAGGACAAGGGATGGTGGACACTCCCCAAGGCCAGGGTTGGGGTGAGGAGCGGTTCCTCAGGGTCAGGAGGAGAACTGTGCTCCCTGGGTCCTGGGTTTGCTGTGCTTGGGATGTTATCTGTGGGTATTTGAGTTGTGATGACTCTTTCTCTCCTTGTCCCCAGCACGCACAACAAGAGATCTTTGAGAGGTGAGTACCTGGCTGCTCCTGGTCCTTTCCCTGTCCCCTGCACCCTCCGTGGCTCCTGCTGTGAGCAGCAGGGCATTCCCCAGGCAGCAGGTGACACCCCCTCTGTCCACTCTCTCGCTGCTTCTGTGGAGGACAAGGACACAGGTACCAGCCAGGCCTCTTGTCTCTGCTTCACGTGCTGTGCTGCAGCTCCTGACAGAGAATGTCTCCCCAGAGGCATTGCCAGATGGGCTGGCCCTGACTTACTGGATTAACAGAATCCCAGACTGGTTTGGGTTGGAAGGACCTTAAAGATCATCCAGTCCCACCCCTGCATGGGCAGGGACACCTCCCACCAGCCCAGGCTGCTCCAAGCCCCATCCAACCTGCCCTTCAACACTGCCAGGGATGGGGCAGCCACAGCTTCCCTGGGCAACCTGGGCCAGGCTCTCACCACCCTCACAGGGAAGGATTTCTTCCTAATACCTAACCTAAATCTTTCCTCTTCCAGTTTTAAGCCCTTATCCTTTGTTCTCTCCCTCCCTGCCCTTGTCTCAAGTCCCTCCCTAGCTTTCCTGGAGCCCCTTCAGGTACTGGGAGACCTCCAGCTCCTGTAAACTCCCCAGGGCTTCCCGGGAGATGGAGCTTGTCCCTGGCAGGTTGGCAGGAGGGAGGATTGTCCACCTGGAGAGCTTGCTGCTCTGTACCTGGGGCTACTGGCACTGCTCTGCCCAGGGGGACATCATGCCTGAGCTCCACACCTTTGGGGGCTGCCAGCATTCCTGACAGCCACCACTGGTAACACTGGGCAGCCCTTCCTTGAGAAGGCAGCATTTTCACTGCTGTTTATTTCCCTGCTGCTGCAGGGGTGCTGGCTGGCACTGGGTGGACTTCCAGGGGTATCTTTGCCTGGATCCTGCCTGTACAGAGTAAGAAACCAGCCCCAGCGCAGCAGCAGCGCCCGGTGCCGGAGCCTTCAGGTACAGCCATGAGTTCTGTGTGAGCTGCAGGACATGGGACACAGCAAAGCCTCCCTCTCCCTGCCAGGCTGCCTGAAACCCAGAGCCCCCCCTCTGCCTTGTTCCCCTGGGCTCTGCAGCCAGGCTGTGCTGGTAAGAGGGGGATGTGGCTTTCTCTGCTGCCACTGGCTCTGCCCCTCCTGCCCCTCTCTGGCTGCTCCCAGGGGTGTTTAATCTGCCTCTCCTGAGCAAGGAGGCTGTTGACTCAGGCTGCTGGGATGGGATTGTGAAACACTTGAAGTCCTTTCAGAAGGGACTGTAATCAAAGCCAACCGAAAGTATCACTTGGGAGGAGAGTTTGCCCAAAACTTCCTGGTGTGGTTTCCCTGCAGCCAATGCTCCTCTTGCCACTGCTCCAGCTCATATTTCTTACACATCCCCAGTGCTGTTCAATAAATCATTGTGTTTCTGAATAACTCTTGTGTTCCCTTGCTAGGACAGAGGTGGCGGAGGGAATCTTGGAGCCACAGGAGTCCCCAAAGTTAAACTTTAACCAGACGTGTGTCCAGAGTCCGCTGCTGCACCGCCTGTGGGCCTCTGCTGTCCTCTGCTGCCTCGCAGGTCAGTGTCTCGCTCAGGTC